TTGTTGTCCAATGTCAAACGTACAGTAAGTACGACAATTCACTTAGGCATGTGACTATTACCTTTAATTTCATATTTATGAAAATACACTGAAATTAATGATTAAATATTTTAATATAAATCACCTCAGTTTTCGAATATTAAAAGTATTAAAAAATTTTATGTAAATAGAGATATTTCTCAATTCTTCCAATATACGAGTATACCCAAAATAACTTTTATTTAGAAAATAAATAAAACAATCCATTCGTTTCCGTGTTAAATGGCATATCATTATTATATTATAAATATAAAGATATAATCTATTATTGCAAAGTAAACAAAATAATGACGAAAATATAAAATTGTTGTAAATATAAAATTTTCATAACAAATATACATTAATTGTGGATCATATAATTTTAAATAATATACAGTGTGCTCACAGATGGAGTTGAAAATTACGAATTTAGTTTTCATTTTATGGAAAAAAAAATTAGTTAAAAAATTGTGTATGTAAATGGCCCTTTTTTGTAAGAGATCGGGAAAAACTTTGTTAGAAGCAAAATTTAAATTGTGCCAATTTTGGTGGCAATAGGTTTAATTTTGCAATAAATGATTTATCAAATTAACAAATATAAAACTAGATTATCATCAAATTTGGTACATAAATATTAATTATAAACTTGACGTATACTTACAGAAAATATAATTTTTACTCTTGACAAAGGCTACACAATTTTGCAGAAATTAAAATATGTAACAAATTATTTTTTAACCATATAAAATCGTTTTCCAAAATTACCAAAACTTATTTTTTTCTGTAATTCATATCCACAGTTCTTTGTCGTGAATACCCTGTAAATATTTAAAACGGCACTGTTATATTTGAACAAAACAAAACAAAAACAAAAACAAAATTATTTTAACAAAAATGTATTTTTTTCGTAAAATGAGAAATAAACAAGTTTTACCTCTTTTCAACTCCATCCGTGGACACACGTACCTTTCTATCGAAGAAAAGATGGTAAAAACCATAGTTTTAAGAAATTTCTGACGAATTCAAAGAAATATATAAAAAAACTATTTCGAAGGCATAAACCAACTTGTGTTGTTTTAAACAGAACATCCTGTATACTTTCATCTTTTTTTTAATTCTCTCACTTCTGATTACAATAATATATACATGTCATATATTTGTTTCGATTGTTTGCACAATATTTTTGTTTATTTACTAATCCTGTACATACTTAAGATTGTCATAAAACCACTGCGTGAGTGTCCTCCGCTGTTAAATTTACTAAAAGCATGTTTAAGTTCTCTAGTAACAAAAATATTTTTATAGAGATATTTTATAATACCATCATCCTGTCACAAATAACATATATTCCAAACAAGTTTTTTTTCTTGTAATGCCCTGTTACCCATCTCATACTAACTTCTTTCGATATTTTTTCCCTTAAATCACATAAATTGCTATATTTTTTATTATTCTATAGAAGTGTCAACAGCAAAAGTATAATATAGACACGTTCTGTCTATAATCAGTATGTTCATGTTCTTGTACGATTTAAAAGCTTATCGCGAGGTTTATTCCTAAGCGGAATTTTTATTTTAAGGGATAAGTTAAGGAAATTACGAAGCTTTTAAATCGCATGAAAACATGAACATATGTGTCTATTTATCATACTTTTGCTGGTGACACTTCTATAGAGCAGCCATATTCCACCCTTTTGTGGGTTTGGGGTTTACACAACATTGTGGGTTTTATGAACTCCTTGGTTTATTTTTTTCTTTCTAGTGCATTTTAATAAAAGTTTCATTTTTAAAATATTTTTTTTTTACTTTTCATTTCATTTATTTACACCTTTTTAATAAAAAATATTTCTCAATCTATCCATTTTAAGTGACGCCTCTGCTACTAACCGTTGAGGAGTGCCCTCGTGAGAAGCATCGGCTTATTTCTGTCATTTTAGTGTATTGTCATCAGAACTGAACAAGCATGCAAAATTTCAAAGTCGTAAATTAAGAGGAAGTGGTTCAAAATTGGCTTACAAGATTTGAACTAAACATACAAACATACCTACATGTGAAGTTAAATAAAATCTTGTAAAATATGTTTAAAAATATCTCCTTTGTTTTATGTATTTTTAGTCTAATTTAGTATTTTTTTTCTAAGTACAATATTTAAAGATCTAATTAGTAAATTTAACAGTGAAATAGCATAAATTTGTACTGATTCCATAGCAATCATAACATTGTGGAGCGTCAGTAAATAAACCAAAATATTGTGCAAACTGTCAAAGCAAATATATGACACTTATTGACGTTGATTACGCAAAGTGGCGTATAAAAAGTGGTATTTAAGTAATATCTCATAAAGAACAAAAGTCACTGCAAGCGAATTTTTGTGGTATGTAAGATAGATATCGTAGTACCAATTATTATGTACCAATTATACATATATAAATACAGATCCTAGAAATAAAAGACAGTAGGATTAGAGTTTTTAGAGAATTTCGCATCAATATTTTTTACAACCATTATAACAAAATTTCATTCATTGATTTTTTAAGGATAATGATTTAATTTTTTTATTTATGTATACAATTCTGCATAAAAACTATCTCTTGTTAATTTTCCTGAAAGTTTATGGATTTTAAATAAAACGAGAACATCTAGTTACTATCCTAAAACTTAAGACTTTATTACACCCTTGCACTCTTATACGACACCTTTGTCTAATCCTATACCAAAATTGAATTTGAAATAACTTTTCTTGGGATATTGATCAAAAACCAACTTATACTGGCAAAGGAATATTAAGCTGTCAATTACTTCAACTCAAAACTAACTAGCAACAAGCAAAAAATGGTAGTTCTATATGATAAAAATAGCAGTATAAATAATCCTATGTTTGATTTAACCACGATAATTTTTTAATAAGTTATCGATTAGGTCGGATCATTACCACTTAAGTAATAAAGTCCCAACGCTTCGCACATGACGTCACTTCAGTGGTGACAAATGTATCTGTTGGTAAAACAGTAAAATGCCCTTGATAACCATATATTGATTTTTACTCCCTATCCTATCTGGAAAACATAGACAAAGTCTTATAAATATAGCTAAATTTTCATCATTTTCCTCCCCATTACTGCCCTCGTACTTCCACCCTGTGGAATACCCGGATCACTTCTATTCGACGCTGAAACATCCAACATAAACAAAGACACCAAGAACACTCCGATCGGACCATCCCTGCGCTCAGCGATCACGACCAAACACTTGTTACACTTTGAAAGATTATACCCCTTATACACAAATGTTTTTTTCTAATAAATAACGTTACACTGTCGGTTCCTTATACATTTTCAATGTTAAAATATTGTACTAGGTAACGATTAAATCCAATCTTAAAACAAAAACTTAGAGTCGTTTTAGGGAATACACTTACTGACTGAATATTCAGTGGCGGCTGGTGCGGAGGGGCTCTAAGGCGCCACCCGCCCTAGGAATTCTCATAGTAAAAAAAATAATTTAACATGTCATTTAGATAATTAAATAGATTAGTCTTATGAAAAACATTAAAAAGAAAATGTTAAATTTGTAATGTGACTTGCTAAATCCATTTGAAAAACACAATACGTAAGTTCCTCGTAGCTCGCCCCTTAATCTGTAAAGTGTTTACCGCGGTGGTCATGGTTACCGTCGCGCAGCAGTGAAAGACGGAGTAGGACTAGCGCATATTTACTAGGTATGCAGTTTGGGTTCTGTTTTGTTCACCCGTAACCAAATAATAGCTATTCACCGCTATTTTTCTTATTAAACGCTATTTGTTTACGTGTGATGTAAAATTTTGTTACCTACGTATTATTTCTTATCCGTTTTTTAAAAGATTGTAAAAGTTTAAATTAGATTGTAAAGACAGAATAGCACTTGCACTGTTATCTAATGAAAAAGTAGGTAAAAGTTTATTTCGGAAGCAGAAGAATGACCTTTCACTAAAAAAATAATGTTTAGCACATTTTCCTTACATTTTAATAGTACTTAAAATAAAACTACCCAATTATACTTGATTTTTTTTCAATACTTTGCACCTAAATATTTCCGCCCACCCTAGTATCAAAGTCAAGAGCCGCCACTGATAATATTCTTTAAAACAATGCAAATGACGATTCTCAGTTGTTTGATGAAATAATGTCAGCACGTGAAAATGCTGAGCACCATGACTGACACAAAACTCCATCTATTGGGGAACAAAATCACGAGGTTTATGTTAATTTTCTGCCGCTTTCTTTATATAAAGGGTCGGAAAGTCCCCATGGTTCATCGGCCGTTACGTGAGAGTGATAAAGAAAGTCACAGAAATCCGTACGATAGAGAAAGATGGCTATAATGAAAGCGTCTAATAATCACCGCCCATTTCGCTCTTCCACAAATAAGATCCACTTCTTATTTGTGGAAGGGCGAAATGGGCGGGGACTATTAGACGCCTTCATTATAGCCATCTTTCTCTATCGCACGGATTTCTATGACTTACTGTATCGCTAGAGATAACAGTTATTGAACTAGCCCAGCAATATACCATTAATTCACGATTAACTTCTTCGCCCTACGCCCAACTTTTTTACAATCTAACTTAAGTTAACGAAATAACACAAAATGTTACAATAAACACGTATCACACACAACAATTATATGTATAATTACAAAATGATTTAAATTTGCATTTTACAATTATTATTAATCCGTAATCTTTGCCGAAATTATTAAATTAACTATGAGCTCACCGAGTTTCGTTATTTACGATTAGACTAATTAAACCACTGATAGTGACGTCACTACGGCATAGCGCGTCAGATGTGAGACCTTACATTATTGGTGGTAATGCTTATATGGACACGTTATATCAAATTCTTCCTCGAGCTTAATTTTTTTTAAAGTAACGATTTTCACAATCGAATAATTCATCAATTAAGCGGTTCCTACAATAACGTGTTACTACAAAAAGAAACTTACCACATGTTTTTTGGATATCTGCATGACAGTTTTCCATGTCACTTCGTATAGCAGTTTTGTTTGTGTGATGAACGTTTTCTCCTTCGACGCTACCAGGCTCGCCATACAATGATAACATTCTTCCTCTGTAACAAATGGATTACAATTAAATAAGCCTCAATAAAAGTTTAAATTTATCTACGGCTACATCCGAGTTATTTTTAACGTGCTTGTTGTGAATAATATTTGTGTGCTACATTGTGTAAATATTTATAACCGCAGAGTCTAGTGACATCTAATAATCTAATAGAGAACGGAAGCTTAAATATTTCTCTAAAGATTCTTTCTAGTACGACGATGTACAAGTGAATATTCTTTCTATTTTAAGGTGTATACACCTACACATATTTTTTTATATTTCGGTTTAATTTTGAGCGATTAAATAATTAGTTATTATTATAGGAGTGCTACGAGTGAAGTCTTTCCGTTTTCAATTGAAGAACCAAGAGGTTGGCAGTATGTACCAAGTTTGGTCGCAGACGCAGCAACTCGGCATGGAAATATTTGAAAAACTTGTTCCCATATTTATTTAGCCATACCCATATACAGGTCTGGTCGTCCAGTTGAAGAATGAGCGCGCGGGCAAACGCGACACAAACACAGCCGCACTGGGCGACTTGGACATAAATTCAATTGTAAACAAATGGCCTAGCAGTGCAGTGCAACAATGCGGAATTTGGTGTGATTCAGTTAATTTTAATTTATTACAGGCACCTTCTATTAATCATTCATATTACAATTACGAAAGGGAGAAATAAGAGGGATATTTTGTTTACTAATATTATTACAACATGGCATTTTGGAGACCTTTTGAAAGGGAACAAAACAAAATTTACCATCAATATCACACAACACCTTTCACCACATTTCAAAGAGAATTTGAAATGGATTCACCCTCTTACAACTAAAATTTAAAAAATAGAATAAAATTTAAAAAACAATTATTGTAAATATATGGTAAATGGACTGCTTACTTTGCTCCGAAGTAATAAATTGGATGTACCTAATACCCGAAAAGTCAATCAAAAAGCATGTATAATTATGCTGTTGTAGAAAAGAATTTAAATTATTTAAAAGTAATATTAATGAAAAAATAATAAATTCCTTGCGGATCAAGAATTATTCCACATTGGGAAAGTAGATAATCGTTTGTGATTTCACTAAAAACGCGTATTTGTTAAGACAATTTTAATAATAATAGATATCTTTCTTTATTTAAAACATTAGAAAATAGATCATAAAAGATTACAAATCAAATGTCCCAAACGAATTTCCAAAAAATTAAGTAGAAATTAAATGACAATGTCTTCTATAGAAAAATGGTTAAATCACTAACCCGAATTTCATTAATCAGCCTAAAATATTAGAGATATTTGGGAGCATGTCATATCAAGAATTTTTAGCGTAAGTTATTATACGAACTTAAATTTAAATATACTGTGTCATTATTTTGAATGTATTGTAGATTTTACCATGAAGATTATAATAGTTTTAGATTTTACATTTGCGTGCAAGATATATACATGAAGATGTGTATTTTATCAAAAAATTATGCAAAATTTGTCACTTACGCGTAAAGTAGATTTAAATTTATGTTTCGATAAACACTTGGTGACACTGTACTCTACTCTGACGTAAAGTTTGAGCGCCATCTGTCAAGTAGTTTATTTACAGCTGTTAATTTTGTTAATCCACCTAGCCTAGAGTGTATTCCGCCATTTTTACTATAAATAATGTTATTGAACAACAAGTTTGCCCAAAATTTTGTATTACCAATGGAATTTCTTGTGCTGAATCGTGAAAATTTTGGGAAAGACGTAAGGTAATTCAGTTTTATCGAAAACTCAAGCATACGAATGGTACAAAGAGAAGAGGTTGCTGATTAGCCACGTTTTGGTCGTCCTTCACCGTCTTCAACTAAAGAAAACAGCAATGAAAGAAATAGTGCTAACAAACCGTCATTATATTTTAAGAGAGTTGGCGTATTCTAAGAACTAAACATATCTCACGAATCAGCTTGCACCATTTTAGTTGATGTTATAGACATGAAACGCGTCCTAGCACGGCTGGTTCCAAAAGAGCTGATTTTCTTCAAAAAGAGCATCGCAAATAAGTTGCTGAAGACATGCTTGCACGAGCTAATTCGGATTCTACATTCATATACGAGTTTAACATGTAAACGAGCCAAAACCTCGGATGGCGCTTTTCTAATAAGCCGGAACTAAAAAAAAACACGTCAAAGTCGATCAAAAATCAGTCATGTTTGACACGGTTTCCTTGGACTATCGTGGTGTTGTCCACACAGAATTCCTTCTGGATAGAGGAACGGTCACAAATATTATTATCTGGGCGTTGTAAGGCATTTGAGAAACAGAGAGTATCCACCGAAAAAGACTAGATTTATGGAAGAACAATTGTTTGATTTTGCACTACGATAACGTACCATCACACAAAGCGATAATTGTGAATGAATTTTTGACCAAACACTCAAAGAATGTCATCAAGCAGTCACCTATTCGCCGGATATGGACCCTGTTTAATTTTTCCTCTTTTCCAAACTGAAATTCGTGGAACACGTTTCGAGTCGATAGAAGCCATATCAAAAATCTCTGAAGGAGTTGAAGTCCATACCGGAATATGCGTTTAAAAGTGCTTTGACGACTGGATTGTTCGTTGGTAAAACTGTATGTAATGGAGCCTATTTTGAGGGAGACAAAACAAATTTTGATGATTAATTGCATATATTGTGTTTTGTTGACAAATTCCGGATAGTTTTTAGACAAAAAGTATATACCAGTGTCAATCCCGGAATCCCGTAAAAAATCCAATCCTAAAAACTCCGAGGTTAAATATGCCAATTCCGGGAACATCATAATAAAAAATAAAATACACAGTATTTTTTATAACATCAATAATTTTAAGATATAATTTGCGTCACGTTTATGTCTTATGTTTATGTTTTATTTTATCCTGTTTTATTTTACTTTCAATTTTAACAAATAATAATTAACAACTAAAATTAGATATTTAAATCTTTCTTATTTTTTTGAAAGTACAATTTGTCATACATGTTTCATTGTATTTCATTTATTTTGCCATAAATTTAGTAAATCATAACGTCCCTATTATCACGTAGAGGCGTATGTGTATATCCATTTCTTGGATTATACGCCCCTGCGTGATAAGAGGGACGAATTGATCTACCTACTAAAACGGAGAGACTTAATGTTTCAGGACTAATTCCAGGATCCAGGAATGAAATAATGGTTAGGGATAATGATTCGATTCACATACTTGTGGGTCTTATTTTGACCAACTACTCATGCTAAATTGCTCACTTCCTAAATTTAAGTAATTTTTTTTCTTGTTATTAAAACTTCACAACAGTAAGGTTCAAATTGCTTCAGATTTATTAATTACTTCATAAAAAGTCCTTTGTTTAAATACTTGTAAATGATTATTAACATAAAATATGTTGAATTTTTTTAATCTTTTGAAAAAATTATATTTCGTTTGTACTGCCTGTATGTATGTATGTATGTATGTATGTATGTATGTATGTATGTATGGATGTATGTATGTATGTATGTATGTATGTATGTATGTATGTATGTATGTATGTATGTATGTATGTCGGAGGGTGGTGGAATTGTTTTTCCACCGCGGCACTTAAGCCTTATTAGGCCCCTTGTACACCCTCTTTCATTACTCGAGTACTTTTCTTCAAACCATCCTATTTACTACACGGGTGCCTTGCTGGCAAAGTCTCTTACAGTTTATGTGAGTTACAGAGATTTCTTTTGCTCTGCCATCCCATCCAAATTCCAGCCTGCGTCCGTGATGCTTACCTCGGCAGGTCGAAATCCACCGGCCAAGACACCCGGCTAGGCGGTCCCTTGCACTGCCTATATTATTATTATTAATACATTCTAAGCTAAATTCTGAAAAATATATTTCTAACTTAGAAGGTTTCAGTTTAAGACAGTGGTCATGAAAATAAAGTCGATAAAAAAATTAGGGCACAATCATAACAAGCCGTCAACATAACAATAAGGAAGATAAATATGTTGATAATATTAAGGGAGACTTATTCAAAAAAATCACTTCTAGCAATTTTCTCTAGCAGCAGAATGTGGTGGGTGAGAATAACGTAACAAAAAAAATTAAAATTCAATAGATATGGTTATTTTAAATCTAATAGAGATTTTCGTAATTTTTCATTCTTTTTGAACACTATAGTAACTTGTAAAATATCACGTGAAGTTTTAGTTATCAGTAATTATAATAAGTAATCAAAAAAAAAAATTAAAAAAACAATAGGAGCAACCAGCTAGTCTTGCGAAATTAGTAGATGGTTTTTGGCAACAATGAACTGGCGTTACTGACGTCATACAGATTATGTACTTCTATTGTAAAAATACTAATTACATTAGCATAAAGCTTAATCACGATAAAATCTTAATGACTGCTGTAAATAAGTAAAAAATATGGATATTCGTTTATTTAAAAACATTTATAAAAAAATAAACTACCCCTTCAGCTCATGGGGTTTTATAAAATTACACATATTTTTGTCGCTCTTGAAAAACATATTCGAAAAGTAGCTAATAACTGTTTTCGATAACTGAAAACTCAGCAGTTAACGTTTGATGAAGAAAAATGTAACCATATGTAATTCATTAGTGAAATAATAACAAATAAGTCATATAAATATTATACGTTATCAATATTTACAGTGTCTATTTGATAATGGTAAACATATGCTCGGTAGTTAGCAATTTATAGATATCTAGGGACCAATAAAAATGTTATAGCGGGCTAGATAATTCTTATTTTGAAAGTAATCGAATTACACGCTAATTAACTGAAAAATATAAAATAATTAGTATCCTCTGACGCTCGCGGTTTATTTACAATGTACAGTACTAATATTTAATATTATGAATTATTTGCATGTCTGTAAATTCTCCTTTTACAAACAGGTTAAAATTGAGTATTACGATCTACACTAAATACAATTTCTGCAAATAGCTATTTTTTAACACTCCTGAGGTTTTTACAAAATAACTAAGACACCACAAAG